TCATGGTTCTGATGGTCCATGTTAGCTGAAGGTTCATGGTTCTGATGGTCCATGTTAGCTGAAGGTTCATGGTTCTGATGGTCCATGTTAGCTGAAGGTTCATGGTTCTGATGGTCCATGTTAGCTGAAGGTTCATGGTTGTGATGATGGTCCATGTTAGCTGAAGGTTCATGGTTCTGATGGTCCATGTTAGCTGAAGGTTCATGGTTGTGATGATGGTCCATGTTAGCTGAAGGTTCATGGTTCTGATGGTCCATGTTAGCTGAAGGTTCATGGTTGTGATGATGGTCCATGTTAGCTGAAGGTTCATGGTTCTGATGGTCCATGTTAGCTGAAGGTTCATGGTTCTGATGATGGTCCATGTTAGCTGAAGGTTCATGGTTCTGATGGTCCATGTTAGCTGAAGGTTCATGGTTCTGATGATGGTCCATGTTAGCTGAAGGTTCATGGTTGTGATGATGGTCCATGTTAGCTGAAGGTTCATGGTTCTGATGATGGTCCATGTTAGCTGAAGGTTCATGGTTCTGATGATGGTCCATGTTAGCTGAAGGTTCATGGTTCTGATGATGGTCCATGTTAGCTGAAGGTCTGTGGTCCTGGTGGTCTGGGTGGTCTGTTCAGTTCTTTGTGGGTCATGTGGTTCAGAATAGTTCTTGTCTTGATTTAAAACTTKTTTGGTGTTTCTGAAGGTCAGGAACCTGCTGAGTTCTGCTGATCTGGACCTGAAGACCTGCCTCACCCTCAGCTGTCCAGACTCTGGTCTTTGGAAGGATCCAGACCTTCAGTCCTACAACCTGCAGGACTTTATAAGCCTCAGAATCAATCCAGAACCTGTTCTGCCTGAGATGGAGGGTCTACAGGAGTTCACAGAGTACCTCTCAGAGTCTCTGGAACCTCAGTCTCCCTTTGACCTCCTGGAGCCCCCYAGCACAGTGGGCTTCCTGAAACTGTCCCGCCCCTGCTGCTACGTCTTCCCTGGGGGGATGGGGGACTCGGCCTTCTTTGCAGTTAACGGTTTTAACGTTCTGGTGAACGGCGGCTCGGATTCCCGCTCCTGCTTCTGGAAACTGGTCCGTCACCTGGACCGGATTGACTCTGTGCTCCTGACCCACATCGGCGTGGACAACCTTCCAGGGCTGAACAGCCTGTTGCTGAGGAAGGTCTCTGAACAGGACCAGGAGGCTGCTGGATCTGTGTCTGAGGAGGACTGGATGAAGAACCTGATCTCCCCAGAGATGGGAGTGGTCTTCTTCAACGCTCCCAGCAGACTGAGGTCTGTCCAGCTGGATCCCTGCGAGCTGCGGAGCTTTGACCAGGCAGCACTGACTCTGCAGTACCTACAGCAGCTGGCAATCAAACCACAACCTCTGAGCAGGCCCAGCGGACCCTCCATTGAACCACTGATTTTGTTTCAGAAGATGGGAGTTGGTCGTCTGGAGCTGTATGTCCTGAACCCGGTCAGCGGTAGTAAAGACCTTGAAGGTTTGATGCAGCTTTGGCCCGATGGTGGCTCAAATGTAAAGACTTGTGACATTCCYGTACCGTGCCTCGTTTCCATATGTGCTTTACTGGTCTGGCATCCGTCCAACCCCATGGAGAAGATCATACGAGTTCTCTTCCCTGGGTGCACACCACAGACCAGAATCCTGGATGGACTTGAAAAACTCAAACATCTGGACTTCTTCAAGCATCCCTCTGTGTGTTTGAAGGACCTTGAAGAATCAAAAGTTGAGAAGCAACCAAAGCATGCAGAGAGTCGAGAAAGCCTTAAGTCCCAGTCCAAGGACCTCAGACCAAGTAGTGCCTTACAGAAAGACAAACCTGTAGATGTCAAAAAACACGAGCCGAAGACAAAACCTAAACCTGCGGGTGATGCTACACTCAAAGACCGAAAAGATGCTGAAGAAAAGCCCAAACTGAAGGACACCGATGCCAAACCCAAAACAGCCAAACCTGAGAAGCTCAGTGCAAAGAAAGATAGATCAAAGGAGGACAAAAAAGAGCTGAAGAAGGAGGAGAAGGTCTCTGCAGAGGTCACAGAGAAGAAGAAAGACGTGGCAAAGAAGGACAGTGTAAGTTTAAAGATGAAGAAAGATGCTCGAGTCGAACCAAAGAGAGACATAAAAACAGAGGAGAGGAAACCTGTGAAGACGACCTTAAAGGAAGCAAAGAAAAGCTCAGGAAGTCCAGACCAAAGGAAAGCTTCAGGGAAAGGTGGGACGTCAAAGAAGGATGGGACTATTCCAATGAAGGACTCAATCAAAGCAACTAAAGACAAGACCAGGTCCAAGGACAACCAGAAGAAGGTGGATCCATCCCTGCCAACTGGATTTGGAAGACTTGGACTAGATGGTGAGAATGGAAACAGTTGTTCTGATGGAACCCCAGCCCAGCAGAGCCAGACCTCCACCATAGAAAGTCCAGAAAAGTTCCGGTCTCTGGTTATGGACCAGAGTACCTGCTCAGCTAAAGGTGATCTCAATGAGAACTTTGACCTCTCTCCACCTGTACACCTGTTGACTGAGGAGTCCTTGATAAGAACCAGTTCTGAGGAGAAGACCCTGGAACTTGTCTCCCCAGCAGATTGTGCTCTGAACAGTGTCAGATACACCCTCGTCCATCAGTCTCCTGAAGAGGACACTTCTGGTACTGGGAAGGACCTTGGAGGAAAAGCATCTAGTCTGGGCTGTGAGGACTACAATCACAGAGGTACTTGTAGACCGTCAGACCTCAGCTCCCAGGTGGAAGACCTGAAGAGCTCCCCATGCTCTCAGAAGTCCAGCCTCCTTGGCTCAGTCCAGGACATAATGCCAGACTCGTCCTTAACCATGTCCTCCATGCCATGCTCTAATGGTCACATCAGGGGTTCGGACTGCAGGTCCACCCAGAACGGACTTATCAAAGCCAACGACAATATTCACAAGATGTCAGAACTCACCTCTGATGTCCCACATGATGTGGACCTGTGCCTAGTTTCTCCCTGTGAGTTCCAGCACCCCAGAGCTCCAGAGAACCACCAGCAGCACCCGAGTCCCAGTCTCACCACTGCTACCTTGCCAGACCTGTCAGAACCTGACGACTGCTCCCAGGACCAGATGAGCGAAGACTGCCCCTCAGCTTCTTGTCAGGAAACTCCGCCCACTTCACTTAGCCACTCCCCACCAACAGTCACAGACTCTGACCCCGCCCCCAGGACCGTGGACTGCACATCCACTGCAGATCTAGACTCCAATGAAGACTTTGGCAGCGTCTTCATGCACAGGGTAGACCAGCTGTCCTCCCATGACCCGCCACCAGCTCCGGTCAAAGATTTGCCCCCCCTGCCTCCCCAACCCGGAGCCTGTATGACAGACCCTGAGGCCGACAAGACCCTGAAGACCTCTGGGGCCAGGCTCAAACCCCTGCAGAGAACCGCAGCAGGAAGTAGCTCCGCCCAGAGCGGGAGATCCAAGACCGTGTCTTCTGGGTCTCTGAAGATGAGCCTTGAAACCAAACCTTCATCTCGAAGTTCACTTGGTGGATCCAGAGTTGTACCTGCAAGACCACAAGCCTCAGGTAGACCAGGTTCCTTTAGAGTAACTCACCTGAGCTGCTGCTTCAACAAGTTTAACCTGTCCTCCTTTTTCCAGGTTCCAGAGCTGCTGCTTCTAATGTGGCTGCAGTTTATGTAGACCTGGCTTACCTGCCGTCTGGCCCCGCCTCCTCCACAGTGGACCAGCACCTGTTCAGGTGYGTGCGCTCATCGTATTACATCATCAGTGGTGACGATCCGCTGAAAGCAGCCACAATCAGGAGCACCCTGGACTCTCTGCTGGAGGGGAAGAGCCACTGGCCCGATGTCCCGGTGGGTGGAACCGGCCTCAACAGGTCTTCCTCTTATTTTTCTTACTGTCCTCTGATTGGTCCATTTCCCCTCCGTGCCCCCAGGTGACCCTCATCCCGACCTTTGATTCCCTGGCGATGCATGAGTGGTACCAGGAGACACATGAGCGCCAGCGGGAGCTGTCCCTCACCGTGCTGGGCAGCAACAGCACCGTCGCCATGCAGGACGACACCTTCCCCGCCTGTAAGGTGGAGTTCTGAGCTCAGACTCCGCCCACCTGACGTTTGACATCACTGTAGCACAGTGAGCATGCTCAGTCTGTACAGGTGTGCTTTCCTCACCTGTAACACATCACACCTGTTGGATCMGAACATCAGCTCACTTTAAAGTGTGTGCTTCAGGAAGTAGCTCTGCCCTGAGCGGGAAAAACAAAACCAGTTCCTGTCAGAACGTAGAACCTCCAGGAACCAAAGAGGTTCTCCTGTTAAAACGTAGAACCTCCTGGAACCAACAAGGGTTCTCCTGTTAGAACATAGAACCGCCCGGAACCAATGAGGTTCTCCTGTTAGAACATAGAACCGCCCGGAACCAATGAGGTTCTCCTGTTAGAACATAGAACCGCC